AAGACTGCCTCATCTCCCGCAAGGGCTGCCTCACGTCCCGCAAGTGCTGTGGCAAGTGCCAGACCAATGTTGTAAGGATGGCTTTAAATATGAAAGGTAAGAATTAAATTCATCAAAAAAATAAAATAAAATAAAATTTCACCCATTGAAACCAAAGATTTTTTTTTTTTTAATATTCCTGTTTTTTTTTTATCTTCCTTTATATTTAGGATTTAGATCGGTAGATTGGGCTCGTCGAGGTCGTGTGGTGATCATCGGTGAGATGATGGACGCAGGACTACTTATTAGTAGTCTGAACAAATTTCGTCATGCCAAATTGCGCAGCTATAGAGTGGCCACTCCCGAAGAGAGTGAAGTAGAATAGACGAGAGAAAAGGAGGGAAATTAAGAAGAGGGGAAGAAGAAGAAGAAGAAGAGAGAGAATTAGAAGAAGGGAGGGAATTCTTGAATTATTTTCTGTATCTTTAAATCAAATGCTGGTTTTATGGGATTTCTATTAGCTTACTTGCTATTTGGTTTGACACTAGTAATTTCACTAGTGACCGGTGCATGTTTTGTCTATTCATTATATAAATCAAAATTCACAAATGACTCCTCAATGGGTTCAAAAGTATCTGTAATTCTCAGAATGTTAAGAGTCCTGATGAAGCCAAGGGAATCCTTCTATGTTTTGAAATGAAAGTACTTAGATTATCTTTCAGTGTACACAAAAAGGGAGAGTGAGGTGAAAAAGCTACCTTTATGATTTCTGCATTAGTCACAGTCTTGCTTATAGCATGACCCATTACTTTTAAGACAGTCTCGGTTACTTCACGACGGAGATGTTGGATTCAAAACTGGACTACAGCAGCGGGCTTCATCAGGCCGGGAATCAGTCTAGCAACATTTAATCTGAACTGAAAATGAATACATCTGTTTGGTTTTCTGAATTTCAGATTCACTGCTCTAAGTAAGGAAAGCCAAAGGATTAAACATATGGATGCCAATAGCTAACAACAAAATACAAATTAGAACAAAGTAAACAATTTGCATGAACGAGAATAGAAACTCCACTCGTTTGAAAGTTTCCGAACTCAACAAAACACGATTACGACTCGGGACCTGAATCAACAGGCATGGCGTCAATAGAACGAACAGTGTATACATATCATTGCCTAAGGACAAACTGTGAGATTTGATTCATAAGTTTGGGCTTCTTTCTTGCTGTTTTTGTATGTGTAATAATAATAAGAATGAACTCTTGTTTTTCCTTTCTTTGTTTAATTTGTTTGTTTTGTCATGTCCTGAACAAATTGATACAGTTCCTTTTATACTCAATTTAAAGTCATCTCAGCCGTTTGTTTTAGTTGACTTATTTCAAGCCGCTCGATTGGTGTTTCATCGTTTTGTGTGGGTTGGGCTGAAATTGCGTGAGTTGTGGGGAAAAAAAAAACTTGGCCCAATGAATCATTACCTTTTTCATGGGCAAATTTTGGTTTAGTATTCAACCCATATTGATCTAGATTTTATAGTCCAATTGGTCAAATATTGGGTTTAATCCACATATAAATATATATTAAATTCAATTATTAGTAACAAATATTATTTTAGTAATATGCAACAAACACTAAGGTCCTGATTGATATGAATGGAATGGAATACCGTAGGAATGTAATGAATTGAAGAATGAAATGGTTATAAGAATGAAATAGAACAAGTTTTGTCATTGATGCGTTTGGTATGCAGAAGGAATAAGACATGAATAGAATAACATTATCATTTTTTATTATAAAAATAAATAAAAGATTTTTTATAAAAATAATATATTTTTAATAAATTATATATAAATGCTTTATAATAATATCTAAAAATAAAATAATATATTTTAATAATATATAAAAATAAAATAATATATTTTTAAATTATATATAATAAATAATATATTTTTAATAATATGTAAAAATAAAAAATAATATATATATATATATTTATTTTTAATTAAACAATAGATAAAAATAAGTTTTCAAATTTTTTATTTAATTTTTTTTTTAAAATAATATATTTTTAATACTATATAAAAATAAAAGTAATATATTTCTAATAATATATATTTATAATATTTTTTATAATTTATTTTTAATAATATGTTTTTCAAAGTAATATATTTTTAATATATAAAAAATAACAAATTTTTAATTATATATAAAAATAAAATAATAGATTTTCAAATTATATATAAATGTTGTTTTTATAGTTTTATTTTTATATAAGTATTTTTAATATATCTAATTAAACAATAAATAAAAGTAGGTTTTCAATATTTTTATTTGAATTTTATTTTTTATAATAATTTTATTTAATACATTTTAATCATTATTTATAATATATTATATATATATTATTATTTGTTAATTTTATATTTTGAAAAATTGATTTCTACAACCATGTGAATGAGAAAACCTTCCATGCACTATGGAATGACTAATCCCATGGAGATGAGTTTTGTCATTCCCATTGGAATGGTCGTTCCTTTCAAAAAAATATACCAATCATGGGATAAAGAATGAGTAAGGAAATGATCATTCCATTAACATGTCATTACCTCATACCAATCATGCCATAAATACATAACTTTAGTAATCAACTTTTTTTACATATACTTATATAATAATGAAATTAAATATTATTATTTTAATTTTTGTGTTATTAAAGGTTAAAAAAACTTTAATTTTATAACACATGTAAAACGTAATTATTTTTTCACATAGTATGTTTTCCTAAGAATATGAAATGCTTAAATTTAGATAATTTATATTTAAAATAAAGTGTTACAAAATGTTTTAAGGGACAAGCCCCATGCATCGCACAAGTTGCTCACTAGTTCTTTTTAACAGAAATAAAAATTATACAATTTCCAGTGAAACGAGTCATCGAACAAAGGATGCAAATCAGCATAAGTACATAATATCATTTGTGATTATATTCCATGAATTACTAAACTATAAATTCGGGGAAGTTCCATTTTAAGGTTTAAATTTTTGAAATCATGTTAAATTGAAGTTAAAATTTCAATATGTCACAATTGAAGGTTCCAACTTTTAAGCTCCAGGTAAAAAAATCGTCTCCAATTCACCAAAATCCCAAACCAACCCTTGACGCCTTTCGTCTGCAAGTCGCTGTTTTGTGCCTCTCTCAGCGGCCACCGGGCTTGTCGGTGGACGACCCTCCGCTGCTCATCCATGGACCTGGTTGCGGAGCCTATTCTTTCGTCTCAAGCTGAGGGGTGCGAGCTGGGTCTTCGGCAGAGTTCTCCGACTTGTGTACGAAGTATGACGGCATTCCGATGTGGTGGGGCTTTAATGGGGTGCGGTGCTAGTGGGTGGATGTGGCCTGGGTCGTTTGCGTTGTCATTGGGTCGAGGCGACTCTTCTCGTCGGGTTCTGCAAACGGCCTTGTTTCGGATCTTCTATTCTTGTCGGTGTTGTCTCGCGATTTCTGGTCGTTGGCACCTCGGTGCTGCAGTGGTGATTGGGCTGGGGTCTGTTTTGGGGGGCTGGGTGGGGAGCTTGTCGTTCGCTCAGGCTGTGTCAGAGCGATTGGGGCTTTGATGCTATTTTTACCCTTTCTCCCTTTTTCTCTGGTGCTGAGTCCGAGGGAGGATCGCCATTGCCGGAATTGGCTAGTGGTGTTAGTCGGCTTCGAGACGATGTCAAAATCAGCTAGTGGTGTTAGTCGGTGTGGGAGGGGGGGAAGGGCAACTGTGGCTTCTTACGCCGGAGAGTGGGTCGGTTTTTGGACTGATTTGGGACTTGGGTTTTCGTTTTTGCTAGGCTTTTCGCAGTGGCGGGCGTGGTTCTTGTGCTTCGGATCTCTCCTTGTAGTCGACTTATGTTCGCTGTTCAATTCAGTCGTTCTGCTGAGGGAGGGCTTGGTTATTTGTCCGCCTTTATTTTGTTATTTTATTGTTTTGTGTGCTTTTAGATTTGTTTGTTTGTTCTGATATCGTGGTTTTAGTTTGGGTCATTGGCCTCTGTGCGCCCGAGTGTGAGCTTATTATCCTGTTGGGACCGTACAGTTGGGTATTATCCTATTGGGATCGTTTTCGTAGTTTTTTTTCGTTTGTGTTTGTATAGTTGATTTTGTAGTTGCGAGTTATTATTCTAGAGTTGCTAGGTCAGACTTTAGGCGATTTTTGGATCTGTCCTCCCAATTTTTTGATTGTACTTTTCAAAATTTGACTGTTTTTTCTTCGCACTTTGCGCGGTATTTAGTTATATAATATCTATATCCGTTCGAGAAAAAAAAAAAGGTTCCAACTTTAAGTTATTTTAAAAACTTGAAGGTTCAACTTTATATTTTAGTTCTCAATTTACGACATCAACAAACTTTGTTTTTAACATAATTGTGTAGACCGAGTGTTATTCTTTTCATAATTTATATTTTAAATACTTGTAATAAGAAGTGTCAATTATTTTATTAAAATTATCTTAATGTATAAATCAATCCATATAACATCTATGCAAAATTTTAATATGATTTATTTTCAAAACTGAAAAGTTAAAAAATATTTCACAATTTTGGGAGCTCGAAGGTTGCATATCACAAAAATTAGGACATTATAATCAAATTTTGCCCTATAAATTTGACTGTAGTTCACTTCCAAAGCGCAGGTGGACTGGTCGTTTCACAAGAAAGCCACGGCTCCATCTCTCTCTCTCTCTCTCTCTCTCAATTTCTCAGTCTCGTCACCTCTGATTTCTCTTGTTTCCTCAATTATCCTCACAAATTCTTTCCCGTTTTTTCTCTATCTTTTACTGAGAGCTCCCTGACGACTTCGCTTTACCAGGTAATTTTGAAGCTACTCTCGTTTATGGCGTGCTTGATTTAACACACAATCAAAACCCTTTTGCCCTCACTTCTAATTTCAACTCAAATTGTGTTGGAACCCCTCTTTTTTTGCCTTTTAATTCTTCTTGAATTGAGTTTACATGTGGTTCGTCTGCTTGTTGTTCGTGCAGTAAATGGCGAGTTTGGTTGAGAGGCTGCGCGTTCGCTCAGATCGGCGGCCAATTTACAATCTAGATGATTCAGATGACGAGTCTGATTTTCTGAAGAAAAAATCCGGGACTGATCCTTCGTCGGGCAAATTTGAGAAATTTGAACGGCCTGATGCGGTAATTTGATGGGCATTTTTCAGTACCTTTGAATTTACACACATTCGACTCTTTTATGCCTCCCATTCTCTTTCGTCGCTCTGTTTTTGTGTTGGCACATAAGAATATATACCTGTTATGCATGATAGAGCATACAAGCTGGTTAACTAGTTGATTTGAGTTCTGTTTCCTTCTCCTACGACTTTATGAAGCGAAATGTGTGTTGAAAATTTGGTAAGGGCCTTGGCTTTCTGGTTTATTTTGGTCCATTTTTGTCCGAGAAAAGTAATTTATTTATTGTGCATTGTTCTGCATTGATCTTTTGTATGGTTGCTTGGTTCTCTGGTCCATTTTTGTATGTTGCTCCTATGTTTCATTGATTTTTACTTTTACTTGTTTTGGGTTAACTTAAGGAGACAGCAGGTATCAGAATATTTCAATAATGCATAACTAGTTTTGGTTGTACGCACATGTACAAATGGGTGTAATGATTATCTACCATGTTAGAACGTTCACGTGAAACGGGGAGAGATTTGACTGTGTTACTATTTCTCCCCCTACTGTCTAGAATTAAGATGCAGACATGAAATTTCTTTGAAATGGGTGGTAGGTCATAGCGAACCTCCTACATGTTCTCTCTCTCTCTTTTGACATAATGACTAGAAGTACTATGTAACTGTTTCATGAATTCCTGCAAAATGCGGTGTGTTGTCAAATGATATGTACTCAATGTCACTCAGAATCAGATTTTATGCGGCGGCCAGATTTTGATATCTGTCCATTGCATATGGAGCTGGAAGAGTCATTGTTGACAATTCTCCTGGCATAGTGCTAATAATGGACTAGATCAAAATGGCTCAATTAAATTCTAGTGCTTCTTCTATTAGTGAAGTTTCTAGAAAAAAATATATCAAACGACGCAACGCACCTTGGGTCGCTATGGAAACAACCTCCTTGTATAATTACAAGGGTAAACCCAGACCCCAATCTGTTGGGAATACTGGGTATGTTGATTGATTGATTGACTAGAAAATACCATGTAACTGTTTTATGAATCCCAGTAAAATACAGTGTGTTTTCAAATGATATGTACTTTGTGTTATGCAATATCTGGGTCGATTGCGGAAGTTAGTTTACAGTGTTGAAACACTAAGGATTTCCTGTATCTTTCAATAGTCAAGTTCTTGCAGGCATACTTTACATTATCTTATACTGCTGCTTTACACCCATAAAGAGTTCTACAATTACTTGTTGCAATTCGTGTGACATTTTTTATAACTTCATCACATGGTTTAACAGAAGGATGACTCATGCCAAGCTTGTGGAGAAGATAAAGATCTTTTGAGCTGCGAAACATGTACTTATTCATACCATCCCAAGTGTTTGCTGCCCCCTCTGAGAAGTCCTTTCCCTAGCAGTTGGAAATGTCCAGAATGTGTACGTCTCTCCATATTCTTTGTTAGTGACCAATTATGGAAAATTAAGGTTTCAGTCCTCTCATCTTGATTTACAGGTTGGGCATCTCAATGAGCTCGAAAAAATACTCGACTGTGAGGTGCGGCCACATGCTGCAAATGACAGTGATGCGTCTACACTGGGATCGAATCAAGTTTTCATGAAACATTATTTAATAAAGTGGAAAGGATTGTCCTACCTCCACTGCTCATGGTAGATTCTTAGTTTGATCCTCTCAGCATTTTTGCACAAAACACGGTTTTCATTTGATTTAAGATAGTATTTTACTGACAATATTGCCATAACATTCAATTATACCACCGTTGTCAGCTTTGAGCTGTCCGTTATTTGGAGGAAGCTATATATTAATGTCCTAATCCTTTTATTTTATATAGAACTGTTGCACTTTATATCTCTTCAGTCATTATTTATAAGAGATGGTCTCTGGTTCATTAATATGGGAAGCTTCTTCTGTATGCTGTTTAGGGTACCTGAGACAGAATTTGTAAAGGCGTATAAGTCGAATCCCCGTTTAAGAACAAAAGTGAACAACTTTCACAGACAAGCTTCTTCATCAACCAACGGCGAGGATGATTATGTTGCTATCAGACCAGATTGGACAACGGTGGATCGGATTATTGCTTGCAGGTTTCACTATCCGTGGTCTTGAATTTCAGTTTCAAAGCATCTTAATGCCGAAAGTTTCAGTTTCAAAGTTATTAGTTTATATATCTCTCTTGGGAGGTGACTTTTCTTGATAGTTTCGGGTGTATAAAAAAAATCTGTCACTGGTGGGATGTACAATGTTAAACTGCTTACTGGGATAACTAATATAAGTTGAGGGCGTCTTCTGTGTTTGGAAACTCCTATTAAATAGCAAGCACACATCTGTTTGCTTAAACATTTTAAATTTCCTACACTTCAAAGGAATGGGTAGTATAATGTATTGTCCAGCTTAGCTATTAATAAGCCGAGTATTGGATGAATGTTTATTTTTCTCGGTCAATGTGGCCCCACAGTTGGGGTAGCATGCAATTGCATAAAAACCTTTATCATGTGCATACAGGTTATTAGCTCATGAAATTTTGTTGGTCACATGTTTGGCATTCAAAGAAAGTTCTAGATGGTCAATCTCCATGCCTCATTCTAAGTTTCTAACCAAGATTGACAGGGTCTATGGATTTAGTAAACTGGTCGTTCCTTGTATAGGTGAATGATTAGTTGTATGCTTCCATCTTATAATGTCATGTGCTTTTTCAAATTATCGGGAATATCAGGGAAGTAGATGAAGGAAAAGAATATTTTGTGAAATGGAAGGAGCTTTCATATGATGAATGCTCCTGGGAGTTGGAATCAAGCATTGCGTCATTCCACAAAGAAATTGAGAAGTTCAACAAAATGCAGTCTCGACATAAAAAGGGATCTGCAGAAAAACAAAAAAGTGATTTTCTTGATTCCATGGATTTGAAGAAAAAACAGAAAGAGTTTCAACAATATGAAAAGAGCCCTGAGTTTCTCTCTGGAGGTACAAATGCCCTTTTATGATGTTACGTTGGATATTTACATAAGCACTCTTATCTGACTCTTCTAATATCTGATTAAAATTAAGGTTCATTGCATCCATATCAGCTTGAAGGGTTGAACTTCTTGCGTTTTTCTTGGTCCAAGCAGACACATGTGATACTTGCGGATGAGATGGGACTTGGTAGGCTATGTTTGCCTTTCATTGTGTTCTTTCTCATCCATTTCTTTATGTAGCAAAATTCAACTTCCATTTCTTATAAATTCCTATGGGTGCAGGTAAAACAATACAGAGCATTGCCTTTTTAGCATCCCTTTTTGAGGAAAGTTTGTATCCTCATCTTGTGGTAGCTCCTCTATCAACATTGAGGAACTGGGAACGTGAATTTGCCACATGGGCTCCTCAACTGAATGTTGTAAGCATGCATGGTGTTTCCAGTCATGTTTGGGTTTTGTCTAACCCTAAGTTTTGGATTCAATTATCTTTTAATTTGTAACACTTCTTGATAAGAGTCGACTCTCCCAGGTAATGTATGTTGGCACTGCCCAAGCACGGACAGTCATCCGAGATTATGAGTTTTTCTATCCCAAAAGTGACAAGAAGAGCAAGAAAAAGAAATCTGGTCAAACAATCAGTGAAAGCAAACAAGATAGGATAAAATTTGATGTCCTCTTGACATCTTATGAAATGATCAACATGGACTCATCATCATTGAAACCCATTAAGTGGGAGTGCATGGTGAACTTTCATTCATCCGAGTGCCTACTGTTCTTTGTGTTTATTTGTACTTGCTCCTAAGTTTTTCCCAGTGTTTCTGTAGATTGTCGATGAAGGCCATCGTCTTAAAAACAAGGATTCAAAGCTGTTTTCTTCTCTGAAACAGTACTCTAGCAGACATCGTGTCCTCTTGACTGGAACCCCTCTTCAGGTATGTTGATTGGTCCGACTAGCCCTGGAGCTCTACTGTTTATGCAGCTGATCGTGATTATTCTATAAGGAAACAGTAAGGTTTTATTGCTATAACTACCTCTTGTTTGTTGGTCATGCAATTGACCTTGGATATATGCTTCGCAGAACAACTTGGATGAACTTTTCATGCTTATGCACTTTCTTGATGCTGGGAAGGTTTGCAACTTAAATTTCTATCATCTTTATCAATCGTGAAATAAATGACCTGGCTATATGCAAACTTTCATTGCCATCACTCTCTCTTTCTCTCGCAGTTTGGAAGTTTAGAAGATTTCCAGGAGGAGTTCAAGGATATCAATCAAGAGGAACAGATATTGAGGCTTCATAAGATGTTGGCCCCTCATCTACTGAGGAGTATGAACCAAAATTCTTTGCGTGCTATTGGATTTTAGTTGTATTGATTTTTTTTCTTTCTAAGACTTCAGTAGCACACAGCCTTGAAATACAGTTTCTGTCCTTGAGATATAGTCTCATTTAGTTGAAATGATGCACCTTAGATGGAAGAGATCTTGGATACATGCTATGGACCATAATTTGATGCAAGAGACATTGAGAAACATTACATTGATACATGCTATGGACCATAATTTGATGTTTCATTGTTTCTCTGGTGGACCTGATTGCTGATGAATTGAGCAAGTTTTACATCCAAACTGACCTTACTTTTTACATTATCTCCCATGAATGACGTGTCTGTTTTTATTGGCTAAATCCGTATGTGTCCATATCAGTGATCCATTATCACGGGAGCCATTGGGCGAGTCTATTATGTTTATGTTTAATGTTTTAATATCTCCATCAGAATTTTCTGACTACAAGTTATATCAATTTTGTTGCTGTGTTGCTGTGAACAGTTTATCACCGTGAATAATTTATCATTGTGAATTGCAGGGGTGAAGAAAGATGTCATGAAAGAATTACCTCCTAAAAAGGAATTAATTTTGCGTGTTGAATTGAGTAGCCTGCAAAAAGAGTACTACAAAGCTATATTAACTCGTAATTATCAGATACTAACTCGCAAGGGAGGAGCTCAGGTGCGCGGACACTTGTAATAAATGCAGCTTCTTATTATATGATATTTCATTTCGATAAGTGTCAACTTATTGTGAGTGGCCAACATAACTAACGCATTTTTATTGATAGATTTCTCTTATTAACGTGGTCATGGAACTCCGCAAGCTCTGTTGTCATCCCTTTATGTTGGAAGGAGTTGAGCCAGAAGATCCTAATGAGTTCAACAAGTAATATATGCATTTTCTTTTGGTTTTCTCTAGTTACCTTGATGGCTGAAATGTGTAATGGAACTTGTTTCTGCGTAGAATTGTTTTGGATTTCTTTAAGTAAATCTTGAGTACATTTCTCTTGTTCTTGTAACTTTCTTTGGATATCTAACTTCCTTTTGGTGTTCGATTATATAATTTTTCTGTCCAGATTTTGTTCTGCTCACAATGATATTCATCTCAGGCAATTCTTGGAAGCTTCAGGAAAATTACAACTTTTGGACAAGATGATGGTGAAACTTAGAGAGCAGGGCCACCGAGTTCTGATATATACTCAATTTCAGCATATGTTGGACTTACTAGAAGATTACTGTAATCATAAGGTATGAATTTATTACTGCAATTGTAGGTTATGAATTTTTGAGTAGATACAGTTCATTTACCTCTATGGCAACAAGGCAATATAGTTTCTTGTTAATTTGATTGATGTTCTATATATTCTCAGAAATGGCAATACGAAAGGATTGATGGTAAAGTAGGTGGAGCAGAAAGACAAATTCGAATAGACAGGTTTAATGCTAAGAATTCATCAAGGTTTTGTTTTCTGTTATCCACTAGAGCTGGAGGCATTGGAATAAACCTCGCTACTGCAGACACCGTAATCATATATGATAGGTAACTTTTATTTTTCAGTATTATATAATCTTCACATTGTAGCATGATTTTTATTGAAGCATTGTCGCACAAAAAGCATTGGATAGTTGATGTATCATTTATGTTTAGATCTTCATTACCCGGAATATATTAGGAATATATATTTGGACCCTGGCAAAGCTTTAATTATGTGCTTATAGATCTTTTCTATTCCACATCATCTGTTTCATTACTCCAAAGTTTGTTTTTTTCTTTTGTATGTAGAAGTCTAATTAGGGTGGCAATATTGTGGTTGCTACATTTCTGTCTAAATTTGGCATGGACTCAGTACACTATGCCGGACCAAGAGCGTCTAATTCGGAGTTATACCTATCCCCTTCTGTTTTGGACTTTTGGTGAAAGAACTGATAATATTTCTTCAACGCTTCATTCTATAAGATATGTTGCACTGACCAAGTTTGGAAAAATTTGGTGAATGAATATCTTAAGCATATTTGAATGATAGATGTAGCAAAGAAGGATGAAAACTGGTTTTGGAAGTTGTTTTACCTAGCATTTTTCAGTTGGGTGAAGGACTTCTCTTCAAGCATTACCATGGCATGTAGAGTTCTTGTCAATTGGTTTGGTCTGCAATTATGGACACTTGTAGGTATTTGGTTTATGTGTTCATATTTGTAGTACTCGAATAGGAGAGAGTGCACAAATGCACTCAATTATCATAGTTTTCCATGGTTTTTTCTAGAATATGATAGTTTTTCATGTCTTTGTGGGTCATAGATCTCTACTGCTGATTATTACCAGCTGCTATTTTGGATATCCATTCTTTTTTCTGGCAATCTGTACCTGTCAATATACTCTCCATTAAACCATGTCTCCTTGACCTGCGGTTTGGAACTTGTATTAGTATCTGGCAATTGAGAATGGCAAATTTTGCAGTGACTGGAATCCTCACGCAGATCTTCAGGCAATGGCAAGAGCTCATCGCCTTGGTCAAACCAATAAGGTTATATTCATTGTAGATCATGTCATTGATTCATGTTCACTGTTTGCTGTAGCTGTGATCGTCTTTACCTTTTGCAGGTAATGATCTACAGGCTCATAACACGAGGAACAATTGAAGAAAGAATGATGCAGATGACTAAAAAAAAAATGGTTTTGGAGCATCTAGTTGTAGGGAAGCTCAAAACACAAAACATTAATCAGGTAAAAAAATATATTCTGCAATTGTCATTGACAGCTTCATGATAGCCAACAATAAGATTAGAGTTGATCTTTCACGTATCTGGAAACTGGAAATACATCTAGCCGTTGAGTTATTTTGTTTATCTATCCTTCCCTTTTTTAACAAATCTGCATTTGATGGGAATATGCAGTAGAAAAAGCTAATTATATATCATACCTTAACTGAAAGACCCAATGAGTTATTCTTTTTCTTTTTGTCAAATTAATGGCAGAAATCTTTATATGGTGATTGAGTGGATACATGGAACTTTTTATATCTCTAATTAAGCACATTATCCATTGTTGTATTTATTTGCAATTTAAATGTGCAATTCATTATATGTGTTCTCCTTTCTGAATTCAAACCTATTATTTGTTTCCAAATACAAAAGCCTGTTCATCTGGTTCAGCCCCGAGTGAATTAGGATGAGAAGAAGATTATCTGGAATACATTGTATTATTTATACAGCTAGCACTAATCTTCATCCAAATTTAAAATTTCATGAACACGTGTTAGTGCCATTCTTCTCTCTCCCCAAAATTATGTGAAGGCGGGATAGCGCTCAGCTAAAATACATACGCACTTTAAGAAAATATTATCTATAAATTGTGTACTCCATAATGGACCCCCTTTCTCTGTTTATGACATTTAAAAAATTATATTTAATTAGCATTGTAATATTCCTGAATAACTCGATGTTCGTATTATGCCCTTATTTACCCTAAGTCCAATATGGACCTACTTTGAAAATGGTCAAATTTATTCATTTAATAAATATGGGTTTAACAAGGAAAATTAATTTCACAAATTTTGGATCTACAAACTAAATTATAGTTTTAGGATGAAAGGTGAGTTTATGGAATAAGAAAATGTGGCGTAGCTTCTGTAACAACACCTGTGAAATTAGAACAAGGAACACATTATTCAGTTTTATAAAATTGAAAAACTATATAAAACAAATGTTATTGACATGGCTGATTCTAGTAACTGAGTTTATTGGCTTTATCGTTATTAGGTTCTGATTTTTGCCTTCACTGAATCTCATTTACCTAATCAGTTTTTTGCCCTGCCATTCACTTTTACCAATTTCCGGTTTGATTTGTAGTGGCCTGTATGTTTCACTTACCTGGATTATCCCTCTTTTTTTATGTTACAATTCTTACTGCTTTGGCAATCTCCCTTCCACATTTATGATTTTTTTTTTAATGCAAATTGTATCCAACGCGAACAATTGTCTCAAAAGTCTGCATTTGGGGAACAACTTAATCTTCGTGATATATCATCTGGTAATTTAGTTATAAAAGCTGATAGGGTTTTTTTGCTGATTCTGGTGATAAATTTTGATACATCGCGCCGCCACAGTGTGGTGATCCCCCCCAGTTATGCAACTGGTATCTTTATTGAATATATGTTAATTGTTAAATCGTTTATCTGATTTTGACTACTATTCTATATTTCACGAGAAATACCTGTATATGTTCTGTTTGAAGTTTCTCCTGCTGACATACTTTGATTTGGATGTAGGAAGAGCTAGATGACATCATACGGTACGGTTCACAGGAGCTGTTTGCTGATGATAATGATGAATTGGTAAAATCTCGACAAATTCGTTATGATGATACGGCAATTGACAGGTAAATATATATATATATATATATATATATATATATATATATATATTGGGATACTGCTCGTCTTCTTGTGGACTCTGAATACCCTACTGTGTAGATTGCTTAATCGTGAACAAATTGGAGAAGAAGAGGCTTCATTGGAAGATGAAGAGGAGGATGGATTTCTGAAAGCCTTTAAGGTTCTAATTTACTTGAATTTTTCAGTATGTTTTTATGAATATATTGGAGTAGTGCAATATCTCAAGAGTTCGTCCCTTTAAACACTCAAATTAAATTCTGTTGAAAGTTTTTGTCTGTTTCAAACATATTTTTCAATTTACATCAGAACTTACATGTTTGAATAATTCTTCCTGTGTGTAATACTGCCTGATGTGGCAGGAGGCTCAATGCTTTACATTTATAATTTGTTCCTGAAAGTATCATTACATTTATTTTGTATTACATGGTGAAAAAATTAAATTATCTTTTGCAGATAATATATATAGTTTAGAGTTGTATTAAACTAAAAAAAATTGAAATGATGATGCGCCTGGTTGGATCTACTTGCTTATAATAGGAAAGTTGCCGGAACAATTGATTGTAACATGTATTAAATGCGGCCAATATTTAACTTTGTTACTGATATAATGGGAAATACTGGTCGGTTTTTTGTGCATCGTACTCCTTCATTCATTGAATTGGTGGCTTCTTCCAATGATTATGACGTTTTATAATCTCGCTCTGTGTGTGTAATTATTTGTGCATGCGTGTTTCTGCCTGTCTGTCTGTGTGTCTCTGTTTGTTTTTGTATGGCTATGGCCCTCTCTGCCTCACTTTCTAGAGAAAACTAATGTGAATTAAATGCTTCAGGTAGCTAACTTTGAGTATGTAGAAGAAGCAGGACGGACAGAGGAAGACACTCCTGTAGCACCAGAGGAAATTAAAATGTCAGTAAACAATTTTGAACGAGCAAACTACTGGGAAGACCTGTTACGTGATAAGTATGAAGTGCACAAGGTTGAAGAATTTAATTCTATGGGCAAAGGAAAGAGAAGCCGCAAACAGGTATGCTTTCAAATATTGTGTATGCTAGCGACTGTTGTGTCCTGGAGTTCACTCAAGTTAATTTTGAGTTCCTTACAGTGTGAAGCATATGAAAGTTTTTTTTTTTTTTTTTCCGAAACGAAGAATATTATATCAAGAAAACAAAAATACAGAGTACAGAGATACATGCATAAACTGCCACCAAACTAAAGAACAAAACAGACTAAGAATTGAGAACCAAACCATGTTGGCCTAGAAGAGAATAAGGGACTAGAATAACATCCATTGGGCAGTATATAATACTGAGGCCCTTGGATATATTCTAAGTCAGAAAAATCACATTCTAGCCACTGAGAAAATAAAACTCCTAGCCAGAAGAAAACAGAAAAAATAGGCTAAGGCAAAGAAGAGAATTCAATCCATTCTGAGCAAGCAGCATCAACAATTGCTTTCTCAGATTGCCATTGTTGCTTAAAGACCCAAAGGTTCCTTGCCTTCCATAACCACCATAAGATGTACGTGGTTAATTGAATCCTTTCTTTTGCAGCCTTGTTCATATGCATTAAACAGACCTCTTTCCACCAATCCTTGAAAGAGAGGATGACTTTTTGCAGGCTGTTCCAGTTGACTGGAGCTATTTTCCAAATCTTCTTTGCCCTAGTGCAGTTGAAAAGCAGATGTTCAGTTGTCTCTTCCATTTCTCCACAAGCTTTGCAGATGTTATCCAGCTTCAGCCCTCTTTTATTCAGATTGTTTTGTGATGGTAGGATCCCCGAGAAGCACTTCCAAAGGAAGTGCTTAATTTTCCTCTTTATTTTGAGTTTCCAACTGATGCTCCTAACTTTTTTGATCCAAGAAGCCTGGCTGCTAGTTTCAGGGAGGTCAAGGCCAAGTATCTTGTTGTTCAGCAGAGTGTCATAAGTGGAGGCCACACTGAACTTCCCTTTGCTATTAAAGCACCATGATAGCTTGTCTTCTTGATTTCTGTTAAGAGAACAGATATTTAGGATGGCATCACATTCCAATGAGCTGAAGGTTTGTCTAAGGAGCCCTTCATTCCATATCTCAGTGTTTGGGATTATAAGATCTGCTACCCATGTAAGGCTTCTTCCAGATGAATCTTCCCTTCCTTTAGGCATGTGTGTTGGAGTACCTGGAATCCAGGGATGCTCCCAGATCTTGGTGCTCTTGCCATTTTTAATGATTACCAAGAGCCCCTGTTTAAAAGTGGAACTTACAGCCATCCAGTTTCTCCAAAGCCATGAGGAACTCTGAGGTGGTTTAGAGTCCAGGAGGGAGCAGTTAGGGAAGTACTTCTGCTTTAGAATTCTGCTCATAAGCAAGTGAGGCTTAGTGTAAACTCTCCACAGTTGCTTGATAATTAGAGCTTGATTGAACAATTTTAAGTCTGTGAAACCCAACCCTCCTTCCTCAGTAGGCAGAGGTAAGTGATTCCATTGCTTCCAATGAAGCCCTTTTTCCTGGTTTCCTCCTTTAGACCACCAGAAATTTGACATCAGTTTTGAGATTTCAGAACAAACCCCAGAAGGTAATAAGAAGCATGACATGACGAAGTTGGGTAAGGCACTCAGCACGGCTTTTATAAGGACTTCCTTACCCGCCGTGGATAGGAACTTGCTTTTCCAGCTTAAAATCCTGTTTTTTGCCACTTCAACAACAAAATTAAATGTTTCCTTTTTAGAGCGGCCAATGCCCAAGGGCAGCCCGAGGTATTTGCTAGAAGAAGTGATTTGGACCCCATTAAGAAGAGAGCAGATGTTAGTTTTAACAGAAGAGGGGGTGTTTCTGCTAAAGAAAACAGAGGATTTGTTTAGGTTTATCTTTTGCCCAGAGCAGAGGTGGTAAACATTTAAGATGTTCATGATTTCCAAAGTGTGAGAGGAAGAGGCTTGACTGAAAAGAATGGTATCATCCGCAAACAGCAGGTGTGATATGGAGGGGCCAGATTGAGAAATTTTAATGCCAGCTAAAGAGCCTTGAGCAACAGGATATTGTTAATCAGTACAAAATTTAAGGCGGATATGAACAAGATATTGTTTTAACTGTTGTATCTCAGTTGGTCATGCTTTCCACCAGGTGCTTTATATTATAGCTTTCGTCGTTTATTATTCAGTAAGATGCCCCACCTTAATGTAAGGAGAAGTAGAGAATGATGGTGGTAGTGGTGATGATGAAAAAGAAGAAGATAAAGTATTGCTAAAAAATTACAATAGAACAGAGAAAGGAAAGAAAAGAGAAGAAAAAAAGGGGATTGGGTCTTTCCACTGAATTAGCTTGAATACAGGATATCTTATGTTTAGAATGTCTAGAATTTAAGGGGGGATATGATTTGTCTAAGTTTTTGCTGTAGTGCTTGTAATCAAATTTTAGTACTTGAATGTGTCAAAGAGACTGTTTATGTAGATTAAAAATAAACTTGCAAGTGAGGATCTTCTAAATTTTGTCAAGGATTTTAGTTCGAGTATATAGCTTGAGGGGATTGTTTCTCTATTCCTTTGCTTGTGTGTTCTTGGAACTGTAAGGCTGGCTGGTGACAATATATTGTTAATGAAGCTAATTTCAATGGAAAATTCATTAACCTTAACCAAGCTATTATTTTCATTTGAACTGAAGTTGTTAATGTATTAGCCTAATACTAGGTCCAAAATGATTTTGACAGCAGCGTTTTCTTGGTATACTCGCGTCCAGATTGACTATGTTGTATTTATATCGAACATTTACTGAGTAGAATCTCTTTTTCCCTGCACTTCGGTCATCAACGGTGTCAACGTTATTCCAAGTGTGTGTATATATATATATATATATATATATATATATGCATTTCTTCCTTCGGTAATAAAGTTGATACGCTTAAATGCAGATGGTATCTGTCGAAGAAGATGATCTTGCTGGTTTGGAAGATGTGAGTACTGATGGGGAAGATGATAACTATGAAGCTGATTTAACTGATAATGAAGCAGTTTCAACTGGAGCTGCATCTACTAGAAGACCTTACAGAAAAAGAACTCGTGGTATGAATGAAATGCTTAGGGGATGCTTGGATATAAGTCTTTTTTATTATTTTGTTTGGATTTTTTGGTTCGGTTTGGTTTGGTTAATTTTGAAAAATGTGATATGGTTAGTTGTTAGTGGGATTTTGAGTTTATATTAAAATAATATTTATAATAAAATAATTAGAGTGGATTTCATGTAAAAGTAGAAAATAGATTATGTGAAGTGATGGTTACATAAAATTATGTGAGAGAATGAATATTAAATTGAAGTTGATTTAATGTGTAAGGATGATTGATTGACATTATTCAAGTATATTGATAATATTGAGGAAGTGGAGTTGGGTTAGATTTGAGTTAAAATAAGTGATTGGATTATTTTGGATATCTTGTATCCAAGCATCCTCTTATTATTCGTTAGTTGATCGGACGAGTGCAGCGATGCCATTTAATTGTTTCCTATTGTTTGATATGGTTATGACCAGATGCTTCCGAAAAACTTCCTTTGATGGAGGGAGAAGGGAAATACTTGCGAGTATTGGGGTTTAATCATGCTCAGAGGGCTATTTTCGTTCAGCTTTTTATGAGGTTCTTTATTCTCTTATTCTTATAATTGACCGAGTTATCTTATTTAAACTTGGATCTAATCTCCTTCCCTTCTTGCTTGTTTTTTTTAACCTCCAGATAAAAGCATATCATATTCCTTTCTCTGAGGGTAATTGCTGTAATTTGAATTATTTGATAGGTTTGGAACGTCAAGAAATGGTTGGGGGGAATATGAGAAACGCCTAAAGCAGAAGACTCCCGAGGAAATTAAAGAGTATGTTACTGGTTTTTGGTCTATTCTAATAGTCAACATTCGTATTCAAAAATGTTGGTTAATCAGTGTCTTGGTTATAGTTGCTGCACTTAATCTTGGGCTTGTATTTGTCATTAGCATATATTGCATGTCCAAGATAACTGCTATCTTGCTATCATCAGATACGGAGTGGTTGTGTTCAAGTTACCCTGGTGAACAGTCAGCTGGCCCTTTGCCACAGGCCCTTTCTTGGTTGAACTACAGTTATTGTTACATTTGGCGGCACCTAGATATAGTAAACCCTTGTGTAGGTTAGGTAAAACTTCCAGATTGGCAAGTGGGTGCTTTGCCTACCCCCATCCATCCCTATGTATCATTTCTAGGTGCATTTCTGTGTTATTCTGATGTTTTAACTATGATACTGGATGAATACATGTTTATATAATTTCTAAAAATATATAAATGTGAAGAATGACCACCGAGAAAGCACAAAGTATTTAATGAATAGCTGATAAATGATAGAAATGTTACTGATTCGTGGGAAGTTCCCTTAGAATTTTTCAAATTGGATTTCGTAAGGAATTTTCATATTTGTGCCGGGTGTCTTCATTTTTTGTGCCTCTCCAAATGCTTAGCTCTTTAAAGCATTTTCATTTCTGGTTGATGTTTTTTTTTTCTTTTTTATTTTTTTAACAATTTAATTTGTAGAATGCCAGTGAAGTTTCTATTCTTGTATTATATACACTGTTTTAACTGGTATCTATATATCTTTATGATATAAGCGACTGAGAAAGTTACGTTTAATTCAGCACAAAACATTACACAGATAAACATAGTCTGACTCCTGTATTTAATTAGTAATTTTTGCTGATAAGCAATATGATTTTGTTATGAAGGTATGGGATGCTTTTCGTGAAGCACTTAGCCGAAGGAGAGAGTGGTTCACCCACATTTTCAGGCAATTAAATTTCCTATTTCATTTACTACTATCTACCCAAGTTTCTTGATTCAGATCCTTGTATTGTTACATAGTTTTAGTTTGTTTCAGATGGTGTGCCCAAAGACGGACTAAGAGTAGATGATGTACTTGTCAGGTTGGGAACACTATCACTCATCAGGGACAAAGTAAGTTTTTTTTTTTTTTTTGGTTACCAGGAAGAGTTTGAATTTCATCACTTTGTGATTGCTACTCAAGACTGGGACTGGGTTTCTGAATAGCCCGCAAGAGTTCTAATTTCATCACTTTATGATTGCTACTCAATATCAAGGCACTATTTACCGGGGTTCTGTAATATTTCTAGCATTGACTTGTGTTTTGTCGAATATGAAGGAGAAACTGTGTCTTCTTAAACTTGTGAATGCGCAGTGTTGTTAGGATGCATGTCTGTCCTAGTTGATTCTTTACTAAGATATTTATTATTTAATATTTACTGAGCAGATTATTATGAGACTTCCTTATTTTTAAGTAGGTGTTTACTTCCTTTTTTTTTTTTAGTTCTCCGAGATCCAATGGTATGAAACTATGAAAAGTGGACTGGCATGATTTCCTTCTTCCTGCATTTTTAATAACTTTCATCTTGATTAATTTGTCCTGTAATTATGGGCTAGGTGTTTATGTCTATTTCTTGCAATTTCTTCGTTTTCACAAACTTTTAGACTTCTCATACTTTTAAGATAAGCTGTTGTATCCTATCATTTACATACACAGTGTCATGTTTGCATAGTTGCCGGACGTTTAGTATGAATTCCAGCTTTCTTGTCAGGTTGATATATATATATTTGAATTTTACGGAGCATCTTTTGGTTGGCAGTTGGAGGCTTTGTCAAAGGGTTCTGTCCTTTTCACGGATGATATTTTATCGCGCTACCCAGGACTGAAAGGAGGAAGGTTTTGGAAGGAGCACCATGATCGGGTGCTGCTGCAAGCAGTAAGGAAGTATGCTATCTTTCCCTCTTTCGCTCTTGCTCATCGATCCTATGTTTTATGACTATGGACAAAAGAAAAAATCAAAAAATAAATAATTAATGGTGTAGATGAAGTGTTTTAAAGGGTCAATGATTATTGTGAAATTGTCTCCCTTGAAAACATTGGTTCTATCCTAAAAAATGTAAGAGAACTGTTGCCTGAAAATAGAGGTTCTTTTTATATGTATTTTTGGTTCTGTACGCATCTCCTGATTGTTAATATGAATCGAATCATTTTGCTTTTACTTTGTCCCTTTGCAATATCATCGATTTAATTTTTTCAATCATTTCTCCACCATAAAATAATAAAAGTGGACCACCTCAAGCAACTTCCAAGTTATAAAGTGCACAGAAGACTCCTACAAAACTAATTTATCCATACATAAATGTCAATTTTCACATAGAAACTGGTGAATTCTCAAGCTACATTTTCCAACACTGGATGTTAATTGTGGAACCATAACCAAGAAAACTCTATCAGTTTCTTCCGTGCAAATGTGGAAACCCCGAGTATATTCTTGCTGGTTAAAATATTGTGATTGAGGAAGGTTTCCTGTCATGAATGAATAGTAGGTTTATAAAATTCTGCTAACTCATCCATTTTTGCTGTATGAACATCAAGACACGGTTTTGGAAGATGGCAAGCAATTGTTGACGACAAGGAATTGAATATACAAGAAGTTATCTGCCAAGAGCTGAATCTTCCTTTTGTCAATACCCCTGGCATAGGAGCTCCATCACAGAATTCTGCTTCAGCAACTTCTCAGGCACCAGCCTCTACTTCTGGTGTTTCTCAACTGCATATTCCTACTTCTGGTTCATCTGAATCACAAAATGGTATCAACTTGGAACATGTTGAAGCCCCTGGAAAGGAAACTACTGATGCCGGAGCAGATGTTACGCACGGAGCCCTTAATAACAGTACTGGCCGAGCGCAACTTGTGCAAGATCAGACAGTGATGTTTCATTTTAGGGAGATGCAGAGAAGACAAGTTGAATTTATTAAGAAAAGGGTGCTACTTTTAGAGAAGGGGCTTGTGGCGGAATTCGAGAAAATATATTCTGTAAGTCCCTTTCAGATTTTCTGTAAGGTGGTAGTTGCAATATTAGAAAGGTGAATAGCAGGGACAAAACTTTCGTAATTCTAAGTGTCCTTTATTTACTCTTATACTAGGTTTGTTAATTCATGGGATACAAATTTTGTCTGAGTTTGTAGGATGGACCTGTTAGTTTCCTAATTTGATAGCCAACAGATAAGGAGGACCACATATTAAGTTTTTTGAACAAGTTGATTTTTTCAGGATAGTGAAAGCGAAGACGACGTTGCAAACAATGATATAGGGCACAAGGCCACAGAGGTAAAGAATTCGAGTTTTAAGGCATCAGATCCCGCAATGGTTGCGCAATTTCCTCAAGTTGAAACAATTTGTAAGTATCTATACCAATTTCCAAAGATTCTGTGGAAATCAATAACCTTACGAGTTACATCAGTTAATTGTGCCAAAAGAGTTTTTGCTTCCAAAGTTCTGGTGTGCACTTGAGTATTTGGTGGTAGAGTTTGCTTTGTGTGACTGTTTTCTGTTTGCAGGTGGGTTAACCAGGGTTAATGCTAATCACTATTGATTTTTTATTTTTTTTTTTAATTTCCATCTAATGGCTAGTAAGATTGATAGTCATTTTGGAAGTTATTTGACAACGGAAGAATCTGATGAAAACGGTAATAATAACTGGTATTGAAATAATTGAATACAATATGATTTGACCGACTTATGTGTTTCTATCTTTGTCTTAATACCACCATTATTTAATAAGTCCTCAACGATATCTAGAACGCAACGTTGATGATGTACCACTTGTTATTTGTTTAGAGGCATACTGGGATGACCTATTTATACCACTTTCTTTCCCTAAATGCGGCTTCCGGAGTAATCTCAGCATTTCCACTTGTTATTTGTTTAGAGGCATACTGTGTGACCTATTTACACCACACCATTTTCTTTCGCTAAATGCAGCTCCTGGAGAAATTTCAGCATTTTCTTGCGACAAAGACACACATCGACTTGATATGGCCAGGCTGTATAATGAGGTCAATTATGAACACAAGCTACAGATAATAATCATGAGGACGTGTGATTGATTAATTATGTAATAATATGGTTAATTGTTTACGTTTTTTTTTTTTTCGCAGATTAACATAATAACCTCAGATAATGCCTCAGCAGATGCAGCTCCAAGTTTGAAACTAAAGAGGAATCTCGAAACCCTTGAAACATTTAATCAAGAGATTAACAAAATACTCTCACCAGTCCAGCAGATTTCTCCTCTGGCAGGGGCCGTGCCTCAAGTTGCACCAACTCAGAGCGGTCAACAAGTCGGCAACTTGGCTGGAGGATCATCATCAAATGGAGCAACTGTTGATGTCGAGATGAAGGATAGCACCTGATTGTCCCTGAAGTTAACTTCATCACCATGGACTAGGCGAGTTTTCATATGTCCCTGAACTACATATCTTGGTTTATTTTTGCATCAAGGTTGCAGCATTTTGGGAACTCGAAAAAATCCGATTTTTTCTTGGTTAATTTTCGGTGCGAGGGATTGTATATTTCCATGTTGTATTAACTGTGGATGGTTCTAATATTGAGGATGATCAGTCTAAAACCTTGACTAACTGTGGGTGGTTCCAATATTGATGATAATCAGTGTAAAACCTCTTTTCTTTTTTAACTAAACTGTTATGAGTGATGTTACTTGATACTTCTTTATACACTGACAAGTGCTTGCAGGTGATCATATTTTTGTATTATTCTAAACCTTTTAAAACTGACTGGACGATGGCCTTCTAGTGACAAAATTAATTACTGAACCAGATAATTCATATCATATATATAAAAGTAGTGTAAACTTTTTTAAATAAATATACATTACTATATTAAAGATGAATATTTAATAAATAAATTATATACCTCAAAATTTGAATATTACTATATATTTTTATAAATGTTTGACAAATATACGCTTATTTTCTAATATTAAAATTCAATTATTTAATGAGAACATAAAATTGTTTGGGCCATTCATTTAGAGCATGTTTGGATGCAAAAATTTTTACTCAAAGTGGATTTTTTTTGTCAACTAAAGTTAATTTGAAAAAAAACAAAAATTTTCACTTAAAGTGGATTTTTTTTGTTAACCAAAGTTAATTTGAAAAAATTGGTATGGTTAGTTGTTGGTTGGATTTTGGAATTTATATTAAAATAATATTTAAAATAAAATAATTAAAGTTGATTTGATGTAAAAATATGAAAGAAATGATATGAAGTAATGGTTAGTTAAAATTATGTGAGTGAATGAATAGTGAATTAAAGTAGATGTGATGTGTAAGAATTATGGAAATTTAATTACATTGATAATATTGAGGATAACGGAGTTGAGTTAGATTTTGAGTTGAATGAAAATTTGAGTGAAAATTTTTGTATATAGTTACGCCCTTAATCCGAATGGGTTAATGCTGAGTACTTGGTTGATCGGGCTTTGACTTATCACTTTGGATTTAATCGGTCAGATTGAAGATCAGTCTGAGTGACCGACTTGGACCGGGCTGGATCTTTGGGTTGATCGGTTTATTTGCCGACCCACGGTTCAAACACAAAAATCGGTCCATTGGTGTAGATACCCATCAAAATGTACTAAATGTTGTTCATTTTTGAAAACCAAAAGAAATAAAAATTGAGGGATGCCAATTGCCCTATGAACATGTTCATGTTTCAATTTTGGCACCATAGATTTAATATGGTAATCTAATTATGTTAGTTCCATACAGAAAAGTTATGGAGCCATAGAATGGTTCTCTTATCTAGTCATCCATAACTTTATGTATTGACACGTGTCCAATGTGTAATTTATTGCAAGACACGTGTCAATATCCATTTGTGAATAACTATGTATGACTTCATAAGTCGAGTCATCCGATGACTCCATAGCAAAACTATAATTCCATAATACCACATATCAATTTTTAAAACACTAATTTATCATACACATATATGTATATAGTAAGAGAGAGGACAACAAAATTAAATTGCAACCAATGGGCGGATAATAGTGAGAGGGTATTTATTGGTTGACAATTTTGTTTATTAAAATTGATATTATTTTCTTAATTAAATTAATCTATATATATATATATATGTATATATATAGAGACACAACATATTTACCAAAAATAGTAACAAGAAAAGTCAACCAACATTTATTACATTCTAGTTTTAGCATTTTTTTTAATTATTCCTAAAAAATCAATCAGCTATATATGCATCCTATATTCATGGGTTTGTGGATTTAATTTACGTAAATTTCGACTGATGCTTACAATTTTACAAAAATCAAGTTCTTTCTCATTTTTTATTTTAAAAAAATGATTACCATAAAATTAAGAATTTCGAATTATGCAAAATACTATCATATAAATTTTTTACTAATTGCAACAAATTAATTGTTTATTAAAAAAATCGGATTGCATAGAAATCGAGTTAAATTATGTAAAATTCGGTATGACAATTTTGTAAAAGTGAAAATTCTCTCATTTTATATTTAAAAAAATATGCTTACCATAAATCGAAAATTTCGAATTAGACAAAATATTATAACATGTATGTTTAATCAATTTCAACAGATCATGTTTATTAAAAAAAAATCAGATTGCATAGAAATGGAGCCAAATTTCAAATTGAAAATTAAAATTTAAAAATTCCTTATCAAAATGGCTTTTACTTTCTTTGATTTTTTATTTTTAAACATAAAATATAGTCAGATAATATTAATTTATAATTCAAAATGAAATCGAATTAGATCATCCTAAAAATTTGGGTTTTTCTTTAATCCTCTACAATACAAATATGAAATTAATTGCATACACTTACAAAATATCATATATATCATGCTAAATAATTAATAAATTTATTTAAGATTATTTGGATTTCTAATATAATTTGTGGCGATAGACAATTTACCAAAAGACCAAACAAATAATGTTGTACATAAGTTACGTTTTGTTTATTCTACGTGTCATTACATCTAAATCTGAATATTTACCTTAATAAAATTAACTCGTGCATGTCTCCGGAGTCAATTATTATTAATAGTAAACCTCCTTTGCTTCCGCCTTCATTCTCACATTTTCTCCAATTTCCTTCTCTCTCATCCCAACTTCCGAATATATTTCCTTATAATCCACGCGCCGGCATCGATATATCGTCGTCATCTGAGCTAAGCCTCACAGCGCCGCGCTGAATTTTGGCGGTGGAGAGAGAAGGAAGATGGATCCTCCTCCCACCTCCTGGGACTCCTTGCGCAAACAGGTATGCAAATTATTCTTCATCTATCTGCATTTGTTGCGCGCGCGATTCCTCGCGATCTGTTTCAGCTTTACAGTTTCATCTAGATTGATGTTAGGTGGGATCATCTTCTTCAATCTGTAGCCAATTATCGGCATTGTTTGTTATTTTTAAATTTTGATTTGATCTTGGATCGAGTTTTCTATGATGCAGTAATTTAGATTAGTGGTTCGTTCTTGCTGAATGTATTAACTTGTGTAAAATCTGACATGTGATCTGTTCTTTTTTTTTT